AAAATGAGGACCTAATGCTGGGGGTTTAAGTGGAGAGAAAATGTTTTGAGAATGATTAGGGCAATGAATGTACAAATGCGCTTTACACAGTTGATGTGTATATGGATTGTGATAAGAGTTGTATGAGCCCCTAATAAAATGATTTAAAAAAAAAGAAAGAAAGAAAGCCCGCTTTAGTTTGTGGATGTTGAAACAGGTATCTGAAACCACTGAAACGATGTATAGATGTTCTTGAGTAGTAAATGACCAACTAGCCAAACTCAAACTCACTCACAACCATTGAGTTGATTCAAACTCATAGTGACCCTCTGAGCAGAGTACAATTATCCCCGTGGGTTTCTGAGACATGGGAGTAGAAAGCCTCCTGCTTCTCCTGTGGTGGGCCTAGTAGTTCCTAACTGCTGACTCTTCGGTTAGCAGACATCAGGACTCCAGTGAATGGCCAGGACGTGGATTGCTTCCACACCCCAGTTCTGTCTCTTTATAGCTGTGTGACCTCAGGAGATTTACTCTGCCTCTCTGAGCTTCAACAAAGCATGCATAAAAATAACTACTTAAAGGGTATTAAATGAGCTGGCCTTTGTGTATTCACCAGACATAGCCTCAGACACATAGTAAGCTCATGAATAAATTAGTTACCTTCCCTACCACTATCTTATTGAAAGACCACTGGTCCACTGGTCATTATTTGCTGAACAGAATAAACATAAAGCCTGGTTGCTTCCTTAGTGAGCAAACTCCAGTACGGATGCAAGCCAATTATGAAAAAAACACGGCAATCTATGTATATATGCTAAGTACAGAATTCCTCTGCATGTATCAAGACTACTTTATACACACACACACACACACACACTTCTCTCTCTCTCTCTCTTTCTCTCTCTCTCTCTCTCTCTCTCTGTAGGTGACATACACACACACACAAATTGAATCCTGATGCAAGGCTATCTCCCTCTATTCAAACATGTGCCCAACACTTGTTCAGATAATAGTTATCTATTCTCCTGCAGCTTAATTTGCACAATGAAAAACATGAGGATTTTATAGAGATAAGGCACCCAAGAGAATCTGAGATATTGGTAGCTACAGGTTTGGTGATAGAGGATTTGGGGGATTAGAAATGCGGAAGACAGCAGACAAGGTCTCCTCTGTTTTTGCCATTTAGTTGGCTCCAAGGGAGGGGGAGCCCCGCTTGCTTCTTGTAACACCAAATTTCACGTTGCTTTTTATGAGCAAAGGGTCTGTTTCTACATTGCACCTCTGGATTTAAAAGAGGAAATTTAAACCTCAGAATAATGTTTTTTGCTGAACAAAATGTATGCCAAACTAAGCTCTGACTTCTGGCTTTCTGAGTCCCAGCCTCCAAAGTTTTCTCAGGTTTCCAGGCCCGGGCCGAGCTCACTGGCTCCTGCCATTTCCTTCTGTTGGCCAGTTCAGTGGATAAGGAGGACACTTGGTGGGCCTGGGGATGCCCTCAGGCTCCAGAGACTCGCTTTAAACGCATCTATCCATTTGTGACTGATTCAGCTGCACTTCAGAGAAGACATCAGCGTGCCTCCCTTGTCATTATGGGAAAATGACTCTAGCAAGAATTTGTTTTTCTTTTTTAATTCACACAAAACAGCAATAAGTCCAGGCCTCATAAAAGACCATTTGAAGGCAAAGGCACATTTGTAACTCAATAATAAAGCACGTTCGCATTATTGACCTTACCTGCCCACCCAGTTTCCCAGATTTTCGGACAGCCATCCAACTTCTCACCTTCCCCCTTGAATGGATGAGCTGAGGCTCTTCGACCCATAAACTTTAAAATGATATCCATCGCCAGCGAACAAACAGGTTATTCTTGGATCACTACTGGTTCTGGCAAGGTGCTTGGGTCTACGCAGACAGTGATAAATGAGAATTAAATTATTCAGTGCTGCATACTGTGGCCAATGCACCGCTGTCATCCTAAAAGTGCCCCACTGAAATCAGCTCACTCCACCTTTGAAACATTATGGAGCTTAAAAGTCTATATCAAGACAAGTTATTTGGGGGTGGGAGAGGCGTGGGGCGGTGTCAAGCTTTTACACTGTAATTATAGCCAGGACCGTGTGCCACCTCTTTCCTTCCATCTGTAATATTTGACATCTTTTTTAAGCATATGTTGAGGTTAGCTGCTCTTTTTTTCGTACATGTTATGAAATAAGATACGTGCTTATTCTCAGCCTCAGGTATCTTCCTGCCAAAAGACTGGATCAACACAAACTAAATAAAACTATTTTCTTTATCCAACATACCGTTTAGACTATTACCTACGCTCTTACTGTACATGCATAAAGCTAGCTCGCTCCTAAAGCTCCCTGCCGGCCATCTGAAATGAGAGTGAGATTTTCCTTCCCCATACTGCGACTAACAAACCCTGTTAACTAACTGGACTCTTCGCAGATCAAGAGGAAGGGAAAACAAAATCTCAAGTTAAGCCAAAAGGTAAGATAACTCAATGCGCTATCTTCTCTCTACTTTATCCTGACTTTAATTAAACAGACTGTCTGTCTGGAATCAGACAAAATCAAGTGTTCCAGCCTGGCCCTTTCCTTTAAGGCAATCTTTGCAAGCGAGCCCATGTGGCCAAGCCTCAGACAATGTGAGTCCGGATTGACTCAATGGCAGTGAGAAGGCTCATTTCCTCATCTACAGACGGTTAACCATCAGCAAAGGATTTTTGTGAAGACTGAATGAAAGAATGCAGGTTTGGATACGAAACCAAAAGAGTGCAGTGTTGATCAACATCCGTTGCTCACAAAGGTAGGTGGCTAATGCTTTTGGGTGCTAAATATTAGGACATCAGCCTTCCAGTCTAGCCAGGTACATGGTAGTCTAGAGTGCTTTGACATGCCTGGACTGTAGTGAGTTTGCCCAAGTACAAGAAGACATACAAGTGGAGGAATGCTTGTTCAGTTACTTAGACTCAATTCTACCAAGTCAATTAATTACACGTTTGAGAAATAATAACGGTGACAACTCAGGCCCCATCACCTGGAGCGTGGCCGAGCTTGCTGTAACTTCTTCCTGAGCCTTCTAAATAGGATCTTCCAGAGAAGGTCTCTGCTGAATAAGTGAGTCCTATGGCCAGAATCTCCACATCACGTGTGTAGAGAGGATTTCTGGAAGAGCTTCTCCGGTGCAGATCACTCCAAATGTTACACAGTATTAAAAACCACAAGTGAAGAACCTATGCTCCTTCTAAACCTAATCAATACTTTTCTAGGGGGATAGAGAAAACATTCTCTCCACTGGACTTCCAGCTGATCTTTTCCTCTTTCCTCCTTTGCATTCAAAAGGGCAGGAGTCTAACATCTATCTGTTTATCAGACAGACAGTCTCCACCTTCAGAGAAAGGCAGTATTTCCCCTGGGGGAGGGAGCAGAGAAAGGGAGGGAGGGGAGAGGGTGCAGATCAGAATGTTATTTGGCTAGGATATGCAAAACCCCAACTGCATATCCAACCTTTGTAAATAGTAATATTCTTAAACAAGGAAAAAAATTTTTTTTCACGTGTGGAATTCCAAGTGCATTTAAATCTTATTAGGTCAGGGTAATTTCCTCTGAAAAATAACCTACTCTCCTTATAGAGAGAAAAGAAATAACCAAAGAAAGATTACTCCCACCCTATGGGGCTGCATTTGTAAATCTACCATAAGTCTAAATTTAGCCTCCAAGCTTCCTTCCAATAGGTTCTGCAGTGAAAGATCATTCATTAGCACAAAGTCAGAAGAGACCCTCTCTCATCAATCTTTTGCATTAAGCAGCAACTATTTATCATCTCAGCAAATGCAGTATATTTTCTACTTCAGTTTCTGTTGATTCCCTTCATCTTCTAACCTGATAATCATTTAATCCAGACCTTCACCTTCATCCATGTCTCATTTCTTCAACATTGACCTCATCTCTTGTCATGAAAAGATTTGGGCGGTTTAAACCCAGATGGCTTGGCTTGAACTAAACGGAGAAGGATCCCTTCTCCAGTTCCATACAGCATGCAGTCTGGTAACAAGTGGTCATCCATCACTCTTGGTGGCTTTGCATGGGACTACCTTCATGCATCTCCAGCAGTGTTTCATGATGTGCCCCTTTCTAATCAAGATGTGCCAAAAGTTATTGACTTGTAAAACACTTTTAAGCAAAAAGAAAAGAAAATAGTTCCTTTTTGGAGAGCTATGTTCCATCTCAATTTTTTTTATTCATATAACTTAATCTCCCCCATGAGGTTAGTTATTAGAGTATTAAACTAAAATAAATTGAAAGAGTTTGCTTTGTTTTGTTTTCTCTAGCTAGTGCCAGGGTTAACTAAGCTGGGAGCCAAGTGGCATTTTCTCAGGACAGCCTTATCCTTTCTGACAACTTCCAGTTCAGAAATAAATATTGGTTTGGAGAGGAAGGGTCTAATAGGCTAAGGAGTCAAAAAATCCTGTCTTACATTTTGTCTTTTTTGGTTATCACCTCTTTTCCCTTTGTTACATACTTTATCTGGGACCCTTATATCTCAATGTTATCTCGTTTTCCTGCTGGGCTCAAGTGATGGAACCCAGGCAGAAAGTTTGCCGTCCCTATGGATTCCATGGCAGTAGCCATCACGGGGACACTGCGGACTGTGATTCTCACGGAGACAATGCCAGACACAGTCCACCTTCAGTTCACTTTGGTGTCTGTGACATCAGAGATAAGAATTCCCAGCCTGGTGAAGCGGTTTGTGCCAACGCACAGCAAACTCACACATCCAACTGAATTCAACCCCTAAGCTAATCGCTGCATACCTCCTCGGGGCTGCTGTGGAAGGACTGGAGGCAACTTTTAAGGTCTGGTTTGATTATTACATGTGGTGGATTTCAACTTGCCTGAGGGTGCAGTTAGTTGCTCTCCTATTACTTGATCTCCACACTTACCAAGCAGACACACATGATGCAAGGGTTGTCCGTGATAAACGGGATCTGAAGAACTTCGCCTTCATTTTCACATTTTGCAACAGAGCCTGAAGTGGGGGGAGGGAGAGGAGCACACAGACACACAATTTCAAACTGAGGCAGTACGATCACTGGATCACTGACGTTTTAGTTTTACACTTGAAGCTTGTACACTGAACTTCAGAAGTCTTTCGAGTTTTAACCTTATCAAACACCGAAAGATTTTTCACCGACAAAAATAGTTCTGTCCGTATAAGTCACATAGAGAAAGGTAATTGGTTTTCGTTTTTTTCTTTTTGTTTCCTACTCAGTGATTGAAGTACAATTCCCAATATTTCACTAGATCTTCAATCATATTCCTCCTTTATATAAATATAGGAAACGCACACAGGAAACACGCATCTTTTCTGCTGAATAATCAAAATGTGTCATTAGGATAGAACTGAGGCTGGTGGTATCAATGAACAGGGCCTTTCTATGGATCTGCCTTAAACTGTCTTGGGTTGAAATCACTTTTGGAAACCCTATCCTCTTCTCTAAGAAATCGACTCAATATTGTCTTTTCTGCACCAGGTGTCAGTAAAGTGTGGACTTATAGCAGCTGAGGTCTTCACCTGCCTAAGAACATATAATTATTATATCCTGCGATTATTACCCTTTTAAAATACAATCGTTCCTTTAAATTCCAGCTCTGGCAAACGGGTGCTTTAAAAAGCACTCTGCTCAGAGGCTGATATTGGAACCATAGAGAGGGCAAGAAAGATTCATAAAACGGTGCACATCTCCCCTTTAATAATAATAGGTGGAGTTGAGATGAAAACAAGGGTTAAAAAAAGGTGCTAAAAATAAATAAACTTCCAAGTTGAATGTGAAAGAATTTCTACCATCACTACATGGAAGTCAACAGCCACTCAGTCCTCAACCTCGATACCGGCTCCCCGCCTGCCTTCGCATCCCCCTACCTCCCCTCCCCGACAACGCCGCATCCCCATCCCGCCAGCGCCAGGCAGGCGCCAAGGTGTGAGCTCCTCACCCTCCCACCCCCGGGGCAAGCCCGTGCCACCTCTCCCGGGTACCAAGCCAGCGCCCGGGAGGACTGGTCCCTTCGCTCCCTCCCATACCTGTCAAGAAGGAGGAAGCCAGAGACATGGGGACCCCCGAGCAATTGAGCAGCAGCAAGACGCAGCAGGTAATCCCGGGCGAGCGCCGGCGGGGACGCTCAGCCAGAGCCCTGACGCCGGAGAACCAGAGCATCGTCACCTGGAGGGGATCCCGGGCGACTGCAGGTCCCGCGCCGCCGCCTCTGCTCGGCAGCCT